ATGTACCAGACTTGATCAAGTCCGCCTTGCATATGCAGACATTCGCCTTGGGACAACGTTGCATCCGCCAACGCCGAGGCAGTCCCATGGGCAGTCCTCTTTCTCCGGCCCTATGTCTCATGGTTGTATCCATCAGTGAACAGATTTGGTACCACACCTTCCATCAACTTCTCTCCAATCATCACCTGTTCATTAAACATGTCCGTTACGTCGACAATCGCCTCATCTTCGGTGACAAACGCCTGACCTCTTTTGAGCCATATGAAGTTTTATTGGACGACGGCTTCTATGGAAAGCCTATTATCCTCGAAACTGAGCCTGATTAAGAATTCCTTGGCTTTATGATCGAAACAAAGCCACTTGAATTGATCTATCAGGGACCAACACAGGTGTCACAAGTCCTCTCACCATTCTCCGCTTCACCTCCTTCAGTCCTGCTCAGCGGCTTTCGGTCAAGATGTCACATCGTCATCAAAGGAGCTTTCCCATCTCAGCGTGTCCAACAAGGCTTGGCACAACTAATTCGATTATACGTACGAGCTGGCTTTCCCAATGAGGAACTTCAGGCCATCTCAAACCAACTTTTGATTCAGCATCAGAACTCAAGTTTGCAGGTCTCAAAAATTGCTCCTGCTATTTTTGGCATGGGGTTCTCTTTTGTGTGTTCCCGTTGTTTTTCCTCTTTCTTGTTTCTGGTTTCTTCCTGTCCCTTCTCTTGGTTGTTGTCTTTCTGTGGTCTCTTGTTTCCCTCCGTCAGCTCTCTGGCTCAAGCTCCGCTTTCCTTTTGCTCCACTTTCGTTTGATCGCTCATGGATCATGCTCAAGGACGAGCGTTCCATCATCATTTGGCTAGAGCTATCATGCATCTCAACTATCTGGCAGGACTCTTGGATTTCTTCGAGCCCTCCATTGAATATGATGAAGCGCCGCCTCCGGCCAATTTCCGTCTTGATCATCCAAACACCAGAGGCCTGCACACTTTTGTACCTCGCCCGACATCCGAAGGTCCTCCGACCTTGGTATCACATGGAGGCATCCCTTCCCACATGGTCTTGAATCCAGAACCGTTCCTGCGACCGGCATCAACAAGCTCTCCACCAATCAATACATCTATTCTCACCACTGGTACATCTCGACCTGCCAGTCTTATGACGGACCCTGGTCCAACTCCGACTCCTGGATCCACAACAACGATTACCTTCCCTACGGCCCCCACACGCACTACCACACCTGTGCCAGTGCGATCAAAACAACGGTCATCATCTCTGGTGGACCCACAACCAAAAAAGAAACAGAAAGGGGAGTCAATTCCTGAACCTAGACTCGCCCACAATCTTGATGCTGTCCATTCGACCTCGTTACCCATTATTTCAGACGCCCGTTCAGCAGACATGAATTCGGATGACTCCGATGGTGAAGCTGCGTCAAGAGAGGATATCAGCTACATTCATGGTGGGAAAGCAAGACCCAGAACACCGCCTCTGACCTTGACTCCCAATCCAAAAGCTCCGCCGTCTCCACAGATGCACATCACTCATGCTATTCCTGCTAATACACCTCCTGATCCGTCTCGTCCGTGGACCCACGCCGATGACCAGGAATTGATTGGCATGAAACAGGACACAAAGTCCAGACCTTCGTGGAAAACAATTGGAGCAAGACTCCATCGCGATCCTCAGCTCTGCAAGCTTCGCTGGGGACTTCTGAAACAGACATCAGAAGTGACTGACCCACCGGGTCCGGGAAATCCACCTCATGAATTGGAGGGTGATGACTGACTTTAGCATCAATTCTTGCGATGTCAAAAAAGGCGTCACTGCTGCCTCATTTGGGGCTGTTGTTGAGTTGCTTCGGGTTTTCCCTTTCTTTTTGCTTTTCTTCGTGTCCTTTCTTTGAGGTCTCCCTTTTGGTCAGTCTTTCTTTTGCCTGGGATGAATGTTCTTACTCGGTGTCTGTTCACCCACAGCAAGTATGGCTCATTCATATCATCGTCAACGAACAGCTCCTGAACGCTCCCGCTCTCGGGACGACAATATGTGGCAAAACCGTGGTACTCATCAACATGATAGGCAACAAAATCCTCGACCCGAAGAACCTCCTCCTGCTCCTCAAGTCCGAGAGGTCTTGGTCATCGTTGACATTGAACAAGTCCGTCCGCTCATGAATAAAACCCATGATGACTCGATGGCCGCTACAACATGTGAGGTTCTCCCTCGCCTCACTCCGGTCGAAGAACGTGCATTGTTCACATTCAACATCCTGCTCAACACACACAGGTTGGAAACCTTCACGGTGTACAACCTGTTGTATTGCATCAGCCAGCACATTTGGTATACGTGGGATCGATTCTTATCTCCTTCAGCCATGGACATCAGATGGCAAGATGATACTGGAGATACGTTTGCTCTCCGCAACGAAGAATACCTCGTCACCTATCTGAACGCATACCGCTCTCACTGGACTGAGGGACAAGAACATAATGAGTTCTTTTCACATCACATTCATCCCTTTACGTCTCACATTCAGCCTTACATCATGCGCCTGAGCTGCCATGAGGCTCTTCCAAACCGCAACATGCTTCCTTAAGGTTAAAAGTCTCTTACATGTAGGGACATGGGACTCTCCCGTTCGCTGGTGTGGTTTGCTTTTGCTTCTTGTTGTTTTTTACCTGTTAAAGTCTTTAGCTCTTGGCTCCAGCTGTACCATGACCAAGCGTGATTCCTCATTTGCCGGTCTCACGCGTCCTTCTTCATCCATGAGCAAGCCACGTCGTGTTTCATGGAGATCCCGCAGTCATGGCCAATCCAGTAGCACTGCTGCTCCTTCGGATCTATTGCAGCCGCCCCGTGGCGACAATGCTCCCCAAGCTGGAAGTTCCCTCTCACCTACTGCATCAGGCGAGTACACACCTCACTTTGGGTACTCTTCGGCAAATCTTGCCACACCCATACCATCTCCTGCCGATCATCAAGCTCCAATTCTACCTACTCCTACAGGAGAATCATATCCACTCCAGCAAGAGATGGAAGAAGTCCGACGTCAGCTCCATGCATACTATTTTGTGGAAGTCCAATCACCTCCAGAAGATGACGATCAACCGGCGCTTCGACGACTTATGGTGACGGAAGTGGATCGACGTGGCCGCCACCACAATAGGCAGCCTGAATATTTTTTCAACGGCATCATCGGCCATGTTCGTGCCGGACAGAATGGCTGGATTGATTCATGGGATCAATCCTCCCAGCTCGCCAACTACTGGCGACGCTACTTTCAGATCCCCGAGACCTCTCCATATGGAAACTGGCGTCCCCATCAAGCTGACGGTCCAGAAAGCCCTGAATCGGCACATGAATCCGTCATGGATGACACCGATTCTCTCATTGCCAATGCTGACATCAATCCACCTCCTGTCCAGATTCATCAACTGGCAACGCTCTTCTGGAACATCCTCAACAATGACAGGGAGGCCAACATGGCCATACTCGAACGTCTGGAGGATCGTGAAGGAGATCTTTCCCGACACCCAGTTCAGATCTTCTCGGCGGCAGACTTGGCTCATCTTGCTAGCCACTTGGCGGAATCCACAAGGACTTTGTCTATCCAAGCACGACGCATGGAGGCATAATGACAGCCTGTGAGTTTTAGGATTAATTCATTCGATGATTCTTCCCTGTATTTTGAAGCCATTTCCGCTTCAGGGAACGGATAAGAGCTTTCACTGTGGATGAATTTGAAAAAAGCCTCGCGGCAGCGAGGCGTGTGTGTGGAACATCTGAAAAGATGTAAAACTTCCTATAGCTTTGACTTGGTTCAATTTTACTTCGTACTTGCAGGGGGATGGAGAGGACGTATGAGGCTCCATCCAACGAAGCTCCTCATATGATCCTAGGATATCACCAGGGACGCCTGGTGACGTACCTGCAACACCATTTTATTTTCCCGTCAATGGCAACCGGCTAAGCCAAGAACCGGCATGTCGTTGTTCAGTGTTTCAGTTGCATCAGGACCTTCCTCAGAACTTCAATGTCAACAGGTTCATTATATTGTACGGTTTTCGCAATCTGAATTACTGCCGACTTCGTCAGATGGAACAGTTGTTTTTGCAAGGACAAAGAAAGCAATCTTCTTTACTGGTTTTCCTGCCATGTCATCCAACTCTCACCTGTCAGACTTTAAGGGATTGTTTGTGCACGACCGATGCACTCCACAACAGTAATTCGATAAGAATTTTCTGAGCAAGTGTGTGTGTGTGTGAAAGATTGTGTGTGACAAAGTTGTTGTGTGACAAAGTTGTGTGTGAAAGATTGTGTGTGACAAAGTTGTGTGTGTGTGTAAGACTGTGTGTGAAGGATTGTGTGTGACAAAGATGTGTGTGAAAGATTGTTGTGTGTGACCAAGTTGTGTGACAAAGAGGCGGATGCGGAGGCGGAGGCGGACGGCGGGATACAGAACCAAAAACAAAGAACCCCACACAATGAGGTGGGAGAATAAACACATCATGGATATGGATTTTGGATATCAATATGATAAGGGAACATGAATGAGGAGATGTGTATATATACATATTTAAATAATGGGATTAATTAGGATGTTAATGTATGAGGAATCCGAGAAATAACTAAGAGGAATTTGAACGGGGTATTGATGGGGATATGTATATATATATATATTTATTTATACGCATAAAATCTGGATAGGTAACGATAGTTCATTAACCTTTCACATTCGGTCCTGCGGGGATAACTCCCCGAATCCAATCACCATCATTCCGCAACATCATTTTTCCAGACCAACACGCTCCTCCAATCCAGGATGGCTTCTTGGATGTGCATCCCACCTAGTAAGTGGTCTTGAGTCCATATAATCACATATAATCCCATCCATGAATGGGGATACTCCATATATAACTGGGGGTATCACTTACTAAGTGGGGCCCGCACCCCCAAGTTGTCATGATTGGATGTACCAACATCAGCTTCTCCAAGTTCGTGCCAAGTCGCTGGGATTGGCACTCCACAGACGTGCTCAAAATTCTTCGTCCCACAGTCTACGAAGCACTTCCTGCATCATCCCAGCAAGTCATCGGACAGTCGGAACATGACAAATTTCTGGCGGATCAATGGGACTTGAATTTCTCCATCATTTGATGGGCAGGAAATTCTAAGACCTTTCACCAAGATGGAAAAACCTGTCAGTTGCTGGTTGAACCCTACATCTTAAGGTTTCTCCAGTGTCCGCTACTTCAACACCTGGGTTTGCCCCCCCCAAATAGGGTCAACATCCAATTGTTTGGACCATCAGTTTCAACTTCATTTGTGTGAATATATTTTTAAAAGACATATACGCACAATTCATTATAAACCACTATCAAACTCAATAATCGATAGACACATCATATATCTGTGTAAATGTAAATAATTCACTGACCTCAAATCTTCGGCTCTTTTGGGAAAGTTACCCCTTACAATTCCCTTTCTTCCAGTGAGGGAGGGTAATGAGGTCGCAACATCATTGCCCAGATCATATTCGTCCATACATATGGCACCGGCGCAGCCAAGTGGCAACATGATGGAACCCAAGGTTGCTGGCAAGACCTGTCGGTGTCTGTCGACAGCAGTCTATGGCTGGCAGTTGGTGGTGAATATGGCTTCTGACACAAGGGTTAGCACTGGTGAATTACCCTATTAACAGTGATTAATCACCGTTGGTAAAACCTATGAGTCAGTATTAATAGTAATTCCTTGTCGCTAGTGGTTCAAGCCAGTGGAAATGATTCATATTCATTGAACGTCATTAATCGTCATTTAATAATCATTCAGATTCATTAACGATTCTTGATGAAAACAAAAATTCCTAATAATGAATCATTTAATGACTTATTCGAAGGAAGTTTCGAAGTCAAACTTCCGACTTATGGACAGAAGCACAGTGGTGAGAGCAGTCAGAGAAGAGAAAGAATCAGAAGAGAAAGGGTCAGTAGAAAAATGATCAAGGTGCGGGGAAAGGTAGAAAGGCCGCAACATACTGATTTTTTCCACTGTTTTGTGGCTCTGGAGGGTCGAAAAGTAGGCTCACCAAAGCGGCAGGTGCGGAGCCATTTGGGCAGATGAGAAATCAAACATTGCCGGCCGCTGTGGCGCGAAGCAGATTTTGAGGTCAGAATGTTAAAAGGAATCCATTTTCGCAAGTTGAGATGTCGAAAAAGTGCACGCAGCTGTGGCGCGAAGCTCATTGCTAAGTCAAAATGTTAAAGACACCTCAGATTCGGAGCACTTCTGTGCGGTAAGCTCTACAAAACGGCACGCCGTTGTGGCGCGAAGCACATGTCGAAGTCAAAATGTCACTGCCCCTTAGCGTCGGACCGCTTTTTGAAGTTGAGATGTAGAAAAAGTGCACGCCGTTGTGGCGCGAAGCACTTTCGAAGTCAAAACGTTAAAAACACCCCAGCCTGACCGGGAAGTACTGTCCGGTAATTTGACATAGCAAACTACATGGGCCATGGCTTCCAGTTCGCGAACTGTTAATTTACCAGAGGCGGTGTATCTCAATACTTGATCATTGAACTGGTCCAAAAAAATTACAACGGAAGCTGCTCCACTAAGTGTTTGGCTTTTTGGGACTTTCAATGATCCTTTGCGATGGCGTTGAGGCACCTATCCCCGTATCAAGCAGGCTTTTCTTCTTCCCGGTAGGGATGAAACACAATTCTTCACGCCAATAACAAAACCATCCCTGCAATCTTCCTTTCTCGTGAATCACCTCCGCATTTGTGTGAAATTACATTTTTCTCTGGCTTAAGAAGAACTTGTCATGGGTGACAAAATAACTGTTTATAGGTGCACGCACATTTTTGATTTCAAGCATTTCCCGATGGCCAGTCTTGGATACCCTGCAATAAATAGCTGGTTGACATGTATCCCGTATCCCCATCAAATAGCAAAGTATTAAGTTGCACTAAACTCCATCCAGTCGGGTTCCCAAGTCATATCAGC